CACTTGTTCCTAGTAGCTTCTTGTTACTACTAGTAAGGCACCTGTAATTACTAGTAAGGCACTTGTTCCTAGTAGCTTCTTGTTACTACTAGTAAGGCACTTGTTACTACTAGCGTGGCACTTGTTTCTGAATAGTTTGGGGTAGTTCTCACTCTAAAGTGAATGTAATGGGGTGATGCCTGCACCAAGAACTTGACAGCAACTGTCCAGCAAGCAATTATACAGCAAACATCTGCAGTCAAAAACGACTCTACGTGAGCGACCAAGAGACTGGACCAAAAGAGTTGACTGGAAGCCCGGTTTGCGGTTGGCGTGCGGTTGGGTTCTCCCCATGACAGGTGAAGAAAACGAATGAAGTGACAGGCATGTCGGCGTGCGCGGTCTGTCGCGTGTCGGTCAGATGAACTTTTGCGCCCCGATCCCAGGCCCCGCGCCTTGCACTCACGAAAGAAAGAAAAACAAGCTGATCCACACATCCTACACGAATTCAAGAAAGAACAAGTCTTTGGTACTCTGAAACAGGGTCCTTGCTGATGTACTTGTCAATTGAAATACCTTTGGACAAGGACCTTCGGTCGCCTCTTTTCCAAGCCTTCCGATCATGTGGAGGGAATACAATGGGCACAGGCGCCAGCCTCGCGCAAAAACGAAAACACCGCACACCGTAGTCATGGCACCGGAGAACCGGAGGTCAACCAAGGGGTGCCGGGTGCGGGTTTGGACCGACGGCCATCTCTTATAAACTTTAGACTCTAGACAGAAAGTCATGGAGGGATTGGTTTTCAATGGTTTTCATGAACTCTTGATGTTACCAGATGAGTTTGACTCACTATGTTGACCCCCCCTTCTTGGGCCGAGTAGGGAACCATCCGGTCACGCCCTGAAAAGACTTCGCCTGAGAAAGGTCGGGTCTGGAACCCACCAGAAGAATGTGACATTGAGTTCGCTGGGAATGGACGTGAAGTCACTCCATGCTTTCGCCGCCGCCCATGCGATGGGCATGTGGAAGAAGGTCGCCTGGAACCCGAGCGAACCGGAGGCTCCACAGAGGGGGTGTGAAAAACACGTGTGTTTCTTGCACGCAGATCTTCCCGGAAGAAATCGATTTCCGAATTCTAGAAAAGCATTTCTCAAGGTCGACCATACTAGCAATGGCCTCCAACCTACTAGCGAAGGCCTCCAACCTACTATTGCGATGGCCTCCAACCTACTAGCGATGGCCTCCAACCTACTAGCGATGGCCACCAACCTACTAGCGATGGCCTCCAACCTAGAAGCGATGGCCTCCAACCTACTGGCGATGGCCTCCAACCTACTAGCGATGGCCTCCAACCTACCAGCGATGGCCACCAACCTACTAGCCATGGCCTCCAACCTAGAAGCGATGGCCCCCAACCTACTGGCGATGGCCCGATGGCCTCCAACCTATACTAGCGATAGCCTCCATCAACCTAGAAGCGATGGCCTCCAACCTACTAGCGATGGCCTCCAACCCTAGCGATGGCCTCCAACCTAGAAGCGATGGCCTCCAACCTACGAGCGATGGCCTCCAACCTACGAGCGATGGCCTCCAACTTACTACGAGCGATGATGGCCTCCAACCTAGAATCGGAAGCCATGGCCTCCAACCTACTAGCGACGGCCTCCAACCTAGAAGCGATGGCCTCCAACCTACGAGCGATGGCCTCCAACCTACGAGCGATGACGGCCTCCAACCTAGAATCGGAAGCGATGGCCTCCAACCTACTAGCGATGGCCTCCAGCCCTAGCGATGGCCTCCAACCTACGAGCGATGGCCTCCAACCTACGAGCGATGGCCTCCAACCTACGAGCGATGATGGCCTCCAACCTACGAGCGA